AAAAAAAAAAAAAAAAAAAAAAGGATTTAATGAGATCAAATGTCAAATTTGAAAGAAAAACTTACAACTAATAAACATATCGTTGGATTTGATCGAAAGTCGAAAATTTCAACTCGTAAAACGAATGAAATTTCGAAAAACGCGCGAATAAGTTATTATACTCGAAAAATCAAATAATATAATATATCATACGATTACCGCATTGAAAATTTTTGTTTAGATTCAAACTTATATGCCTAAATTTAATTAAATATCACCCAAATCGTATTTGCATACTTCGAGCATTCAACTGCTTTTACAGCATGCTTAAAACTAATAGTAAAATTACATCTCTTTTACCGTCTATGGCCGTAACTCTTACAAATTCATCATACATTATATATAAGTTACATGTATAATTTCAGAGACAATATATAGCTCCATCAAAATACCACTGATCAGTGATATCAATAAAAGTCAGAATAATTTCCAGTGAAAATGAAATACGATAATATATTCATAATAATTAATTGATAAATATGTGATATATTTTTCTTTTAAAAACTTAAAATAATTTTTAAATTATTTATATTTTTTGATAACTCTTGTAATATTGTAATAATGAAATGCTTAATTAAAAAATATTATAATACATAAAATTATCAATAAAACTATATCTATGAATGAATGGAAAAAATGCCCAAATTTTTTATGTTTTGAAAGTATTTCCTCAAAATGATGCTTAAAATATCTCTATTTCAATTAAATTTATTGAAATAATTTAAAAAAGCACTGGAAATAAAACTCTGGCTTTATTCAATATAACAATATCGTATCCTTACATACGATCAGGTATTATACGGGCCTTTTCTCTGTTTCTAACATGATCATACCTGAGATGCGAACATTAATTTATTTTAAGCCACACAGCCAAGAAACAAAAATTCAACTTCAAAATGGTTGTTCCCTACTTTTTGATTTAAAAAAATTTTTTATTCAATGAAAACGAAGATATACCTCGAAAATAATATTTTTCTTTTGTTACCTATATTTTCAATAACTTATTTCGATATTCAACTGAATTTTTTCTTATTGATTCTGCGTACGTCGTTCACCAATTATATTTTCTAATTTACGTGCAACAAATGCAGTTGTCTTTTTGATCGGGGATGTTCCTTCTGACATCTCCACGTCGGTATCATCCGATAAAAGTCGCTTGCCAACGGATCTTTTTGGATCGACAGAAATCATCATTTTATTAATAGCCTCCAAATCCTAGAAAATAAATAAAATAAAAATAATCTATATTTAATATATACATATGTAATTTTTCTATTATATAAAATAAAATTATTTCTTAACCTTTGCAGGGCTACGACTAAAACAATAACTAAGTTGTGGTGCTGGAGAAGCTGAAATAGCTTTCGGATCTAATGTACGCGTCATAATACTACTAGTAACACGTCTCACTGGTGAATTTGCAGGAGGTTTTCCTTTTGGAAGTGGACTTAATGACAGATTCATTACACTGCCGCGTACTAATCCAAATTTATTTGCCATCTCTTTTACTTGTGGTACATATACTGTATTATAAAATTTTATTAAATCACCACGTGTTTCTTCACCAAAATTCTGCGAAGTACCAGCCATATTCGTAGGTGTAGGAGGTGCTACATTAGTTTCTTTGTCTGATACATCTTTTTGTCTAATTTCTTCGTTGTTCTTCTGTGATTCACCGGATGGTGTTTTGGCTATAAGTACTGATCTATATATATGGGACTCTGCTTGTGGTTGTAATCGATAACATCGCATGATTTCAGTAAACGAATTCTTTTCCATTTTCACCAACTTGCATATTACATAAATTGCACACATTAAAATTTGATCTAGATGACGATCCTTCATTAATTCTGTTCGTTCTTTAATGGAATATTCAAAAATTGTCCATATCTTTTTTTTTAAATCAATATCCATTATTTCTAACGATCCACATAAATCTAGCATACGTACGCTAGCTAGATTATAAAATTTTCTGAAAAATAGTGCAACAGAACCGGTTCGTTTTGGTTTTGCTGATTCTCTATTAATTGTTACAGTTTGTATTGGTGCAGCTGTTGTTTGTACAGTAGATGATCTTGGAACCGTAATCTGTTCAGGTAAAAAAAGTATTCTCGAATTGCTATCGATAGTTAAAACTTTTGATGGTAAGACACTTTGACCTGTTCCTCGCAAAACACTTTGTCCACCAATTCTGGTATCTGAGAATAATCGTTTTTTAGCTACACCAGATGCTGCGACAGGAGATTGAAATCTTTCCGAGGCCGAGGAAATAGGACTTTGTTGTACATCGTGATGAGTGCCACGATCTAAAGCAATTCTTCTCAATACCGGTTGTCCTGGAATATTTGGATCAACAGTTTCTAACATGCCAGGCAAAGAAACTTCTTCACAGCTTGGAACACCTTCTGGTGTAGATTGTATAGCATTCCATAAAGGACTGTCACTTTGCCATGCAAGTGATTCTAAAATCTTTTCCTCTATTTGGTTCAAATGCTTTACAACATCACGGGATAATTGATCTTCTGCTCTAACTATAATTTCTATTACTTTATAGAAATAATAAGCATCTAAATTCAGAGCATTTAGAATCCAAGGAAAAATTTTGTCATTACTTTTATATGAATAAATGACTATTTCTAGACAACAGGCAAATAAGCACTGAATAAAAATTTCTTTTGTAAGAAGATTCTATAACATAATAAAAATAAGTATTATTCAACTAATTTTTTTTATTTAATCTTTAAATAATTAATTATCAAACCTACCGTTACATCGTAATTTGGTTTCTTGCGTTTTTCATCATTTAAAATCATTTCTAAGAGTCGATAAAAAAGAGTTTGACCTAAATAAAGTCTTTTTCTTCCAAAATCTGAAGTAGTTTCATTTGCATTTGTACTTCTGTTGTAATTAGCACAAAATTGTTCACCAAGTTCTTTAACTTTTGTTTCAACGAGAGTTTTTACATCTTGAGAACAATTATTTAAAATTTGTAACAAATTTTCACTTGGTGAAGTTTGACCTGCCAACATAGCTTGGAGTCTAATTACACTTTGTGTTGCCGTAGATACTGGTGTCACATTAGTAATATCTTTTTGTCTAAGATAACTACGTCCAGTTAATGGAGTAGTTGGAGCTAAATGTTGTATCTGCTGTAAACATTATATATATTTTTTTTAATAAATATTTTTAAAATTATTTTTAGAAATTACATATATATATATATATATATGTATAATTATTTTAATACTCACTCCGCTATTTTGTTCTTTTTTCATTTGAAATTGTTCATGAAGATCACCAATATTCATCATCTGTGTAGGAGATCCAATATTATTACTAGCATCATGGCCTGTAAAAAAAAAAAAAAAAAAAAAAGATTGCAGACAATATCTGTAAAAATTTATTGTATTCTATTCTTCAAATATTTTTGAAAGAGATTACAAATATGCACAATACATAATATTTAAGAAATCCATCAATTATTCTGGAGATAGGTACTTTAGGATAAAATGACAAACATTAAGGAATAAAATAAGAAAAAATATTAACATAAATGCTTGATCATAACATGAGCTTAAAAATAACTTCAAAAATTAATGGAAATCATTTCGTGTCAATTAAATATTCATTATTATATAGAATTATATGAAATTATCATAAAAAAAGTAACAAAATTTTAATATAAATATTATTCATGTTAAAGCATAATGATATTAACCATTAACCTTATTATTATTTTTTTATAGCAGCTTTCTACATATTATAAACCTACCTCTTATAAAAATATGTTTAGATAATCTAGCATGACAAGCTAGATCTCCTCCAACTATTTCCAAACTTGATATTCCATTTAATCTCACTCTCCTCCAATCAGCTACACCACAATTAAGACAAAGCAGACACAAATAGTTAACAGCAAGAAATGAAAATTATTCAAAAAGACAAAATAAAGATTACCAGATATTTTGTCCTTTATTAAAAAATGCAAATCAAAAAAACATAAGCAAATCTACTGGGTGTCCTGTAACTGATGGTACAATTGAATAGAAGTGAAATTGGCTATTTCCCGATTAAATACGATTAAATTATCGATAGAAGATAATTTAATATATAAAAATAAGAAAAAAATATAAAATAAATTTTTTCATTTAAAAATTAGTCACGAAAATTGAATTTAAAAATTTGTAATTAATATCAATTATATGATCCTCGATTACGATTATATCGATTTAGCTGTACATATTCAATCTCGATTTTGTCAAAATTTTATGCAATAAAATTTTATTTTACATTTTTTATTTATTTTCACATATAAAGGAACTATCTATCAATAATATTCCACCAGGAGTTAGCCAATTTCACTTATATTTGAAAAATTTTTAAATTTGATTTGAATGAAGCCTCAAATAAAATTTTATTCTGCATTTTCAATTTATTTTTTTACGTACAATCATCCTCTGTCTGATTATACTATCAATTATGGAACACTATATAAAATAACTAAGTTTTATTATTTTTGACTAATTATATACAAATATGAAAATTTACTATTTTTTTTAAATAGCAATATTTTCTAATTATTTATTTAAATATAATAGGATTTCATTTTAATTTAATATATACATTACAAATGTAAAGTTTCTTATATATTAAAAGAAAAAATTTAAATTCCATAAAGTTATACTCTCAAATTTGATTTACAAGCAACTTTGATTTATTAAAGCAAAAATAGATAAAAATAAGCATACAGGCATACAGCATTATTTCATTTTATGTACAAGCTTTTTA